AAATTTTTATATACACTTTGTTTTAATAAAATAAAAAAGAAGAAGATATAATTGTCTTGATTAATCAAGTATCGACTTCTAAAGACAAAATAGAGAGAACTAGGTGCTACAAACTTTAAAAGTTGGATACCAATGTGCCAAGAAAACTCTAGGGAACCAATTTGGTAAAATTTAATAGGTTAGAGACTTCTCTGAAAATTTTCTTAAAATAAAATTAGAAAAAAAATATATCAGAGCTTTGTATTAAAAACAAATTAAAATATTTTAAATTAGTGAAAAAGTTGTATATCCGATTAAAATTGATTGTTAATTTATATTTTAGCTCCTCCGTTCACTTGTTCCACTCACTCTATTTTTCTTTTTCCTTTTTATGCAAAAATTATTTCAGTTTGTTTTTTCTCGAATAAATAAAAACTTAGGTCTGTATTGAAGTTTAAATTGATCCACGAAAGTATCGGACAAATTAAATGTCGCAATGATTTTTAGTCCTGCTTGTCTCCTTTTAAAATAAAATTATTTAATTTTCATACTCAGTTTCAACCATATTTACACAATAAAATATTTTGTACGTAAATTCAATTTTTTTCCTTTTTAACTAGATATTCTCTAAAAATACTATTCAAAACTCCATTTTTTTTCAAAATAATGACCATAAAAAAGGAGTAAATTATAACTAAGGAATAGTCTAATAAATTATATTGCTTAAAATAATATTCTCGATAGTATCTAACAGCCATTAATGTTTAACTATATAATTTAAATTTAATTAGGCTCGAAAATTTCACTAACTAGGGTCATTAAGGTTATTTGAAGTAGGTGGGGTCCATTTTGGTGTCCCGAACTTGATCAAAATCATCTTTAGTTTGAAACTTATTCTTAGAAAAAACAAACTTATTTTATGTGTAAGACAAGATTTGAACATGCGGACTCGTACAATTTGGTCCAGCTAGATGAACACAACCAATTTTTAAAGTCAAAATATAAGTTGTTTAACATCCACGTCAATGAGAATATTGTCTATGAACTTTCAAAGGACTTCTTAATCTTTCATATGGTACATTTTGAGCCTCTAACATTCAAAAGTGAACTTGAATCCTCGAAAACCATTGGTATGTATGTTTACATCTTACATGACTTAAAAGTTGGATGTCAAAATCATTAAACCACTTAACTTTTAACTTTGAAGTCACACGAGAGTTGCTTTGAGGTTTATTGTCGATCTATATAGACAATTTTTGTCACGTAGTCGAGGATCTAAAATTGAATCACTTGAAAGATTGGGGATGATAAGACGCTCTTGAGCTTAGTCGAAACAAGTTTTTATGGAAAAGCTCCAAAACAAGTAGTTAAGATAAGGAAGCAAAGAGGGAGAAATAAAGAGATGGCAATTCTACTGAACTTGCTTCGGACATCAACCTTAAACTATGCTAAATAACCTCACACAATTCGTTCCACTGTCCCTATTCGTTCATCATCTTGAAGAGTGAAAGCAATTTTTGGAAGAACCCAAGAGTTGCTACAATCTAATACAATCCTCGCTATAATACCAAAAGGATGCAGCCTCAATTAGTTGGAGAAGGTATGTGTCATCGTGGCAATTACTCTCACGTGACACTTAGCTCATCAAGCCCTTATCCCAATCTTGAGAAATTGTGAAATTAACAAACCAACAATTTCTCTTTATTGTTTGGGGAATTTGAGATAAAGTAATGAGCTTAAATGCAAGGTTAGATAAGTTTCAATTATTTATCGAGTATTTGGAGAGTGAAGAGTTATCGAGCATGCACGTTTAATTTAGCATGCTTGCATTATTCATCAATCAATATTTGACATTTTATATAATCATCATTATTAAAATTGGACAAGAGTAAGTGGCACTAGGGCCCTAATCCATTGTCCAATAAATTCGTGACATATTTTTATGTATTGAAGAATGAATTAAGATGTGTTTCATTTTTCAACAATAAGTTTAGATTTGTTAGTTGTACTCATTTATTATGCTACTTTGGAATATGTATATTTTAACAGATCTAACAAAAAACAAAATACAATGACAAAAAATTATTCATGTAGCCGACTATAAATTTACAAAGAACAAGGTGTAATTTGTTCTCTTGATGCTGTTTAGTAATATAATTTTTTAAACATCTCTCGTATCGAGCATTGCCCACTAAAGATGTATTCATGCATAGATTGGTTAGCAGAATAATTTTTAAAAGCATCAATTTTTTTATAAATACCGTCACGAAAGTATCGAATATTTCAAAGCATGAAATTTTTTTTGGGAATATGATCTCACCACCTATGCTACTTCAAGTTGAAGATATGGAGTAAGATGTTCTTCAAGTATTATAATTAAGGAATATTCAGATGCTACAAAAGTTAAAATGAACAATTAACCATACCACAACAAGAGAGTTTATTTATCGAGTGCATAAATGTGTATCCAAAATTTTTGTGCAAATTTTATGTAATTAGATACGAGAAATTTGTTGTCGCAATCCCCGAACTTTCACAAATATAGTACATAGGTGGTTCCCAATCAAATTTAACTCGTCTTTCGAGTTTTCAAACTTTCATTTTCAGTGCATTCTCTTTAACTTAGAAGGTGTTTGGTAGGGGATTTTGAGAATTGATTTTTTGACCGTTAGAAATAAAAAGTGGTTCCTACTTGTGTGAGAATAATTCAAAAATGATGACTAAAATAATGATAATAAAATTGATTTTAATTGATTTAAAATCCCCCAAACACCCCCTTATTTAATTATAATAAACTTATTCCTAAACAATGCTCTGGCAATGGGATTATTAAACTAGGGATGAAATGGCTGGCAATCGATGTACCCAATCATGTAAAACCAATACAAAATAATCAAAAAATGGCAAATCCCTAAAGAAGTCCCCAATTTTTCATACTTATGACAATGATGTCCCCAACTTTTCATTTATGACACCCATCCCCGAACCATTTTAATAATGTACGAAGTGGTATCTTCGCACTTAAAATGTTTTAAATTTCCATACGGGGTGGACTTGATATCTGGTAAAGAATCAAATAAAATTGTCCAAGAAACTTCATTTACTTGAAGAGTCAAATGATAAGAATTCAATTATATTAAAATTTACTCACTCTATAGAAACTTAAAGGGTGTTTGAGCCCTATTTTTATGAAAAATGCATTTCAGAATAGTAGATTGATGGGAAACCTGTGATTAAAAATAAGAATTTTTTTTTTGAATTTACGTGTAATATTATTTTAATGAAGAATGCGTAGTTAAAAATAAGATAATGAAAAATATATTTTGAAAAAAATGGGAATTAAATAGAACCTTATTGTATTACTCATACATCATTCACATTGCCTGACCATTTATCATCTAATAGACATTTCTCGTTAGATAAATATGCTACCCAAAAAGCGTTAAACGTTAGGGAAGCATAGAGGAATTCACCCTTTTTAAAAAAAATTAATACCATGATACATCTTCTTTAAATTTCATTTTTTTTTTCAAATTTATTTTTAATTATGTATTTTTCAGTAAGATAATTTTTTACATGAATTAATAAACTTTTTCCTAAATTTTAAATTACAAATACTTCCCGAAATAATCACTTTTCTCAAAATATATTTTAAAAAATTTACATCAAACTAGCCTGCCCTAAATGTCGAAACTGAAAAACTGTGGGGGTTAGAACAGTAATTTCTCAGAACGCGTCAAACCGTCACCGGAGCATTCCGGCTTTGCTTCTCTCTTTACTGCTTCCCTACGCCCTTTTTCTCTCTACACCTATTTTCTCAAAAAAGTGAAATTTTCTCAAGTTCAGATCGAAAATAATCCCCATTCGAATCCATATTAAAAATCTCGATTCGAATAACATTTGGTTCGAATCTTGAGAGACAATGGGAGATTTCAATTTAGCGTTGGTAATCGTGGCGATAATCGTTTGTGTGCTGGTGTTTATATTTAATTTATACCTCCTTGTAAACTACCAGCATCCAGATGATGCCAATCAGGCGTATTTCCCCAAATTCGTTGTAGTTCTGGGTCTCTCTGTTGCGGCAATTTCGATTTTAATGCTTCCGGCGGATGTGGCTAACCGGCAGGCTTGTCGGCACGCGATTTATAATGGTGCGTGTAACCTCACTCTCCCCATGAAGGACCTGTGGCTCTCCGTCTACATTATTGATGCTATCCTTGTGTTTTTCGTCATTCCGTTTGCAATGTTCTACTATGAAGGCGACATGGATAAGTCCGTTATTCCCCTCAGGGTTTCTCCTTTTTGGTTTTTTTTGATTAATTATTAATAACTGGATTCATTTTTATTCATAAATGTTGAAATAATTTTGGGTGTGTGCGTGTGTTTAATTTTGTGGGTTTTGCAGAAGTGTTTGGAAAAGGATGAAAAGTGCATTGCTGTGGGTGGTAACGACAGCTATTGTTTGTGCTTTGGTGCTAGGGATTTTGTATGGTTAGTTTCTCATTAGATTTCTCAGTTGCTTTTTATGTTGACTACTTTGTGGGTTTGTAGATAATACTTTTGCTAGTGACCTTGTTTGAACTTTATTGAATAATTGGCTAAGTCTTAAATGTGCTTCATAGTGTTACAGGTTAACTTTAAACTAAATGCTTTTCCACTTCATATTGGGAGGTTATATCTATGACTCTAGTAGTTATAAGTATTTATGATTTGTTACTGAGCACATTTATTGGTGTTGTTGACTGTAAAAGACCTGTAGCAAGTGTTAGTTTATGTAGTTGTCATTATTCGTTTTCATCTAATGTTGAAGTGATCAAATATCCACTGTACATGAGGCTTACAGCCATGATATTTGAGTTATTGGTTGTCCCAGTTCTTTATTAGTTTGAATCTTCAAATATTATTTATTGTTGTATTTGTGCTGGTTTTCTACTGGCTTTGATGGGATCACTTATAGGTTGTTTTTAAGTGATAAGTGAAACTTGACAGGATTAAGCCCCCGTTTGATCCCCATTAAATTCAATTACATTACATTCCATTTTTCTTTCTCCTATTTTCAACCACACAGTCTTCCATAAAATAATATTACACGTAAATTGAAAATTTTTCCTTCTTTTTCAACCACTCATTTTTCTAAAAAATACTATTCCCCCATTTTCATTTTTAGGTAATGGGGGTCAAACGGGGGTTAAATACTGTAATAAAGTAAAGCCACTTTTAGAATTTTTAGAATATTTTCCTCATTTTCCATAATTTTGATGTGTTTGTGGAATGGAATTGACTTATCACTTTTAAAACAAGGCATCCGCCTTGCTGCAGCATGTACCAGTTTGCATGCATGCACTCAGATGGACCTTTTAAGTTTCTCCCTTTTGTTCTGCCCCTTTAATGGAACTTTTTCTGTGGAATATTCCTGTAGCATATCAAACTATTGGCAAATTGAGATGGAGATTATTTTGAACATTATTTCTTTGAATTTGAGTTTTGCCTGCCAGAACAATGGCAACAAGCAGAACTTGTTCTTGGTGAATTTGGAGTCCCTTCGACATAGCATTAAATTTACAAAAAGATCTTAAAAAATCAAATGTTTTATAATTGCATTAGGTCATATTAATATTGATGATCTCTGCTTTTTTAAGTTTTTACTTGTTCTGTGTTAAGATCACACCAGTCTTTTAAGTTTTTGCAATTTGCCATATTAATATTGATGATCTCTGCTCTTTTAAGTTTTTACTTGTTCTGTTTAAGATCACACCAGTCTTTTAAGTTTTTACTTGTTCTGTGTTAATATTGATGATCTCCACTCTTTTAGGTTTACATAGGACTTGCCCCAAATATAAAAGTAGTTCATTCTTTAATATTTCCTGAATTGGTGTCACCCTAAATGTTGACATGTACTTTCCTTTCTCATTTCATGCAAATGAGTGTGGTTGCACTTCCATCTCTCAGTTTTTTCAAGTTAACAAAAAAAGTATTTTTTCCCCCTTAATTCTGCTCTCTAGGACTTGTTGGTAAGGTGGATTTCACTGTTCGACACCTATCCTCATCCACTGAACCCTTTCCATCTACTTGGCGCTTAACAAATGGTCAACAATGTGTTGGAAGTGGAGAACGACAGGTTAGGAAATATTTTGTTATTCTATTTACTCTCATTGATTTTGATTCCTCATTCTTGCATTGTTTTCCATTTTCTGTAGTGCTCTGCATATTCTGCAAGTGCTTCTTCTGAGACTACATGGACTATGCGAACTACCTTCCCTGAATATGTTGTTGCTTTAGCTACAATTGTTGGTTCTGTGCTTTTCACTGTAAGTCCATCTATTGCAATCTCTAACTATAAAATTCTCTACGATATTGATGTTAAATGAATGCTCCATGCATTTTCTTGCTTTGATTGCAAAGAGTTCATATGCAGTATTTGATTTTCTCTTGCTTTCATTCATACATTTCATTAACTATTTATCTGTCCCCTTTATGTTGTCTAGCATGTGCTCATGATTGGAGTTGTTAATCTCATCTGTATTAATTTCAATTTATTATATATGAAGAATAGTAATTGAGATAAACCAATTATAGTCAACAAAGACATGACATATTGGTGTTGCATAAGGGTATAGACTTTTCTTGTCTCTCTCTGGAAAAGTAATCTCTTCTGTGCCAAGACTTTATTCTCAATTGTTGTGTGCGCTTCATGTTCTCCAGATTTTTGGTGGTGTCGGCATTGTTTGCCTCCCATTGGGACTTATATTTTCTTTCATCAGACGACCTAAAGCTGTTATAACACGTTCACAGTATATCAAGGTATTTATTTTTCTTCATCAATTTGGACCTATATGAAAACAACTTAAATCTTGTCACTGAAGAAGTCTATATCTGCACCTTAAATGTGGTCATTACTTCTCGATCATGTAGGAAGCAACTGAACTTAGTAAAAAAGCTAGAGAATTGAAAAAAGCAGCTGATGCACTTCATCAAGAGGAAAGGAGTGGTAATAAGGGAAGAAAATGGCGTAAAAATGTGAAAGCTGTAGAAAAGGTACGTCCTATTATCATCTGGTATTGTTGTTGTCCTCATATTTTGCAGGTCAACTTAGATGTTTACAATTTTAGTTTCAATTTTGTTTTCAGCTGTGACTTGCAATTTTGTGATAAGACTCAATTGGATACAATTGCTTCAATGGTTTGAATTACTTAGCTGCATAACATACCAAATCTAGTTTATATTGTGCCTTCCTCATTATATGAGAGACAATTGTGTTTCTCTTGTTGATGTTACCGTGCATTTCGCAGTAATTAGGTTAACGTGGTGCTTTTTTGGTCTACTTCATTTTTTCCCGATCACGCTTTTCCGTATTACATTTTTATTCTATTATGTTCCTTCTTTGCCTCATCGAAGATTTGCTATGTTTAGATGGTACTATGAGTAGTTGACTTGTTTGTTGAATATGTTTTCATAATCTGTGGATGATCCTATGTTTTTTGTATCTTGCAGGAGCTGCTACTCTTGGAAGAAGATGTCAACGCATTGGAAGAGATGTACCCTCAGGGGGAGAAGGTGATGAACCTAAAATTATATAGCGCCCTGTTTGAGCTCAATTTTCTAAAAATTCATTTTTTTTTCAGACTCATTTTCACTCATACATTCTTACAATAAAACAATTTTCACGTGAACCCAAAATTTTCCTACTTTTTAACCACACTTTCTTTGAAAAAGTCAGCATCACAAAACTCATTTTTTACACAAAATGGGGTTCAAACATAGCAATAATCTTCTCACCTGTATTGTGATTTTACAAGCTTTCTGATCCAGAAAGGAAAATTTTAATAATGTTGTTGCCTAATTTATTCAGGCTGAAGCTTCATGGGCCATGACTGTTCTGGGCTACCTAGCCAAACTTGTACTGGGAGTTCTAGGGTACGTTTTCGTTGTTTATGTACCGACACTGAGGATTTGTACACCTGAAATTTTAGTACACTTCTTATAGAACATTTGTGGTAACTCCTGTTTCTGAATTTCTTGGATAATGAAATAATTCTAAACGTTGAGACTCTCAGAAGTCAACACTCTACCTTAATGGCATATTGTTTCATAATTTGAGAAGCTTGCTTATTGGTAAATAGTGTTTTTCTTTTCCATTTTTTCCTTTGGGGGATGGGGGATAGTGGACAAACTTCCCATGGATCTTGGTAAATGAAGAAAGTTGGAGTTGTTTAGATGAATTGTGACATCTTTTGTGTTCATTGTGGAGATCTATTCTTTCGAGCCTACTTTATGCTTAATGGTTTTGCTGCTGTTTGGCCTATTGAACTATTTTGGATGTGTGTGTTTTGTTAAAGCTGATTGACAGCATATATTTGCTGCCTTTGAACAGGTTGATAGTATCAGTGGCTTGGATTGCACATATAGTCATATATTTGCTTGTTGACCCTCCTATTTCTCCATTTCTTAACGAGATCTTCATCAAATTGGATGATGTTTGGGGTATAGAGGAAATTTCTGCTACTCACGTCTTTCATTTTCTGTTGCTTTAAGTGACATGAACTAACATGCTATTAATTTCTGCTACTTTAGGTCTGCTGGGGACTGCAGCATTTGCGTTCTTCTGCTTCTATCTTCTGCTTGCAGTCATTGCTGGGGCAATGATGCTTGGATTGAAATTAGTTTTTGTGACTATCCATCCTATGAAGTAAGAATACTGGTACCATTAGATTTTTATTGGCTGGTTAACCTCATATTTTATTTTCTGCCTCTCTTTTTTTTCATGCTTGTTTGTGGTTATTGACTGATATTTAAACAATATTTACAGGTGGGGAGCTACACTCATGAATTCTTTTCTTTTTAATGTCGGCCTCATTCTCCTTTGCTCAATCAGGTAATCTCAATTTGAACACTTTTGAGGTTTATAAGCACTTGGAACGTTTAATATGAGCTGTACTATTGAGCTCTTGTTTGGTTACTGTTTATAATTGGTCAAAATCACTTCCTATCCACATATTTCATGGGATCAACAAGTACTACCCACTTATATACCACTCATTTCTATCCATTTATAATTGAAATTGTTTATAAATAACTCCCAAACATGCTAATCCGGCAAGGGCAAACATATAACAAGTCTAAGGGAGAAATTCACTTTACTAAAGTGTCCTTAAATTGTTTTTATTGAGGACTTCCAGCTACATTTTGTTTCCCCAGTTTGAAGTTGTAGGCCGTTTCTTCTTGCTTCTAGATTTAGTTATTTATCTGGGATCTTGCAGCCATCTTGTGTTGGTCCTATTTTCATGGGTTTTTAAAATTAAATGTTATCATGAAACTGAAAGTTCCAGTGCATGTTAAGCCTGGTGGAACCCATTTCGTCAACAGCTCATTATATATAATATCTGTAAATTAGTTTCATTTGTTAATTCTGTAGGCTAATTATTAGATCCCCTTGATACATTGCTTGCGACTTGATTCTTCTGAATTTGAACTTTCGATGAACTTTTTGACCGATTAGTTTTGTCCTCATGTTTGCAGTGTGATCCAATTCTGCGCCACTGCATTTGCATACTATTCACAAGCTACCGCTGCTCAAGAAATCTTTGGTCACACCTTGGAATCCCTTAGGGGAATCAAATATTTATACAAGTCAGTTCTTGGTTTCATTTTAAGTCTTAACTGCTTCTTGTAGTTGTCGGTCTCTTTATGGTCTTATGGTCCATAAACAATCATTAGACTCAAAACGTTGAGTACTGTTGCAGGTATAATATCTTTCAGATTGGATTCATTGTTCTGGCTGGGCTGACTTTTGTGTATTACGCAGCTTTTGTACGTCCCACGTTGACTATAGTATTCTGTTATCTTTTTCCATAAAACCTAAGCTTAAACCTGTATTTACCTTGTAACATTTCAGGGGTGGAGAAGAAAAAAGCCTACTGGCAGATTCCAGCTTTCAACATAAACATTTGGTACCGTTAACACATCTAACAAGTGGAACTGCTGCTATTACTGATTTATCTATGGTGTGATTGATGTAAATTACAGGTTGCACGTGCCTTGGTTTTGTTTAGTGCATTGCTTGGGGAAGAAGGCCAAACATGATTAAGGATCCGATAAAAGAAAATTTTATGGCCACATGTTAGCACTACTGCCTCTGCTGATGCTTTACTTCTGTCGCCTGTTTTCCCATCAATGTATGTATTATTTGCTAGGTTATGCATATAGTTATCGGCATTTGAATACAGGATTGAGAATTACCTTTTGATGTAATATATAGTCATTGAGCAGAAGATTTCTTGAGTAGCCTGTTTGCTGTGTAATGCCTTTATCTCTGGATACACTTTAATTGTCCCAATTCTTAACTGAACAGCAAACACACCATTACCTGTTCATTGATTTGTGTTTATACGCATTGGGTTTTGATTAAGATTACTGTAGAATGATCGCCTTAATCGACTCAGTAAAATTCTTGAATTGAGGATGATTTTTATAGTTGATTTCAATAATGACAAGTAATCTGATATTTGGGTTTACCCCAAAGCACGTACTCAATAAGCATAATTCGTCTGGGCGAGCTTACAAGACCTAGTACTTGTATTTTTCATTGTGTTCGAACCGTTGTTTTTAATTTTGGTTTGAGGCTTAAACCTTTAGGTGCGCTTTTCATGATGTTTTATTATATGCCCGAAGCTTATTACATCTTGAGTTCCACCTCGACTTACTAAGGCTCTTGTCTAATGGTGTAGGATGTTTTAGCGTTTGTTTTCTGTCTGCCTTTGGATCGATTAAGATTACTTTGTAAATTGCACCTAGTCGAGCCATTAAAATCTGTGAACAGTGGATATGATTGTTACAGTTAAGTCCCAACAAATTCCATGCAAAATTCAAAGTATGTTACTTGTGTCGATTGCCAACTAGAAACCAACTCAGAGTGCGTGGTGAATGGTCTGAAAATTCAGCCGGACTTGACCTCCGGTAGAGGCTTGGTTCCCATTCGGCCTCTTTGAAGACCTTTAGCATCTCCTTGATGACAATTTTGCACGCAAGACAAGAATAGCTACATTGAGTATGCACATCTAGTCGAGACACTGACTTTAAGAAAAGCATCCTCACTTTGCTGGAATGCACCCCAAAGTCCAATTGGTGGCACAAAGCTTCGGAATATATGTGACAAGATCCAATTGTTCGAGCATATTGCTGGTAACGAACCGAAAAGCTAGAAGCAAAAATTTTCAAATATTTTATTAAACTTAAATTTAAGATTTAGGTTCGTACCTGTAAGTTTCATGTATAATAGACTCGTTTACAGTCGGTGGGGTAAGAAATCACTTGAATCTTCCCTGAAAGATTCTAGAGAGAGAGTGCACCAAATTTAATACAAACAAAAAATAGATGTAAGTAGACATACATTGTAAGAAGGACACCGTGGATTAAATGGGTAAATCAGGTATACCTTCGGAAGAGTAATATTTGGATTCATATGCCGAGGAAAGAGGACTCTCCTTTACTTAAAAAATTGCTGAATGTTAGGGACAGCATTGTGAGGGCCGAACTCACTGTTGAACATGCTGTTGGCACACTCCAACTGGATTTATGGCAGATTCAGAATCTCAGCTTCATATGAAATTTTTAGGCTGAGGGGGTACTAAGGTAACTTGGGCCAGCTCTGTTTGGAATGCTGTTGTGACACCAAAACACAGTTTTATCATGTGGTTGGCAGCTAACTCTAAACTACAAACTAAAGACAGATTGGATTATCTTCAGATCGACCGAAAATGCTATTTCTGTGAACATTTGGATGAGACGTCAGACAACCTGTTCTTCAGCTGCTCGTTCACACGTTCAGTCTGGGAAATTATCCATGCTTGGTTGGGTATTCGAAAGTCAATGTCTACACTTCTTAGTGCAATGAAATGGATTAAAAAGGAAAGTCGAGGCACATCTTGGCAAAGCTATGCGCATTGCACTTTCTTCGACTGTTTATCACATTTGGATGGCTAGAAATAGAAAGATCTTTAATGATCTTATACCAAATATTGATAGTATTGTGCGACGGATCAAAACACACGTATACAAAGTGATGTTTTCTTTGTATCCGAATGTTTTAATTTAATATAAGTCTCTAGCTATGGGTTTCTAGGTTGCATTGCTTGGGTTCCTTATTTTTTTTTTTTCGGGGCTTTCACCCTGGAATGCCCTGTATAGTTGTATAGACACTTGTTTTGGTTTTGTAATGCCCAGGAATGCTCGGTGTATTTTGATCAATAGAATTCACATTTATCAATAAAAAAAAAACACAAAATAGATGTAAGCGAAAACATGTCAATCTATTATATCTACACTGTCGATTGACTAATATAGACCTACGCATCTTACCTCCAGTATTATAGATAAGAAGCTTGAAAATCTACCAATCTAGGCTCTATGCTCGTTTGCTAGTATTTGTAAAGAAGTTTATTAGGTCAGCTTTTTCTAAAAACTTTTCTAGTCAAACGAAGTACTTTTTGAGTATTATAAAAATATGTGTAGAAGCAATTTTTGACTTTTCAAAAGTCCCATTTGACCCTTTATATCCTAACTCTGAATCCGTGGAAATGGAGCTAGTTATATCAAATTACTTTAAGAGTAGTATTCGAGATTTTCCAGCCTTTGAAATAAGAAATATAGAAAAGAGAACGTTTATCGAATTATAATCAAATGGATCTAAAATTGTCTAAACAAGAAAGAAACGTGAATATTACAATGCACTTGTCACTAAAGTTACCTTAAGATTCATGCTTTTCAATGTATTCACGAAGAGGAACATGAGTTGTTTTTAAACTTCAAAATATGAGCACTATAGTTTGTCTTAATATTGTTATTTGAACAATATTTAAACTTTTTTTTTTTTGCTTCTTCTGAACCAATCATGCCAATAATTATTGAAACTCGTATCTACTGCATCAAGCCTATGCCCTAGGGAAACAAATGTCAGTTATCAAGCATAAGTATTTCGTATCTTGGCAAATTAGACCGAATTGAGCTTGGGGTACAGGGTAGGGGTTCACAGAACCCTCTATCGACTACTCACAACAAGAAGGAGTGGGCGGATTTTTTGGATAATTATTTATACGGGTGGGTCTCGTGTGGGGTCCACCTGGTGTGAGTATCGGAACCCCTGCTCTGGTAAAAACAGGAAAACTCAATTAGAGCATGCAGCCAATTTCAATTGAAGTAGGAATATGCCACCTCACTCAGAAGCTGGTATTTTTCAAAAATATTTTCTATATTTGCTCGATGAATATTTCTCTTAATTTATTAGGATATTCAGTGTTAGCACCGGCCTGTTTAATTAGGTATCCGTCGCCATCTTTAGCGGAGTACTGCAATGAAATAAATGTGTTGCAAACTGTTGTAGGCTTTGCTCTATTTTCAATTCAATTTTCTAATAGGACTTTTGCCATTTGTAAATTGAATTTGTACATCATGTTTCACGCTTGCATGATTGTCAAAAATTGATTCGGTGCAATAATATATTTTTTTAAACCGTCAAATCACAATTGATAAATGTAAAAACAATCATGCTATGAGTACATTGTGGTATCCAACGGGGTGTCTACGACGCCTCAACATTGGCTGAGACGCCTGCCACGCAAGGGCCCACCGGCGCCTCGCCAGGGCCTCAGCCAATACCGAGGCGCCGAGTGTCCCTTTTGGACACATCGATGTACCACAAAAATTATTCATGTAGAAATGCCTGTATACTTTATGATTGTTTTAGAATTTTGCTATGTGTCAACTAACACCTTGGTGTACAATCTCCTCACAATAGGGAGCTAGCAAATTTTTTATTCATTGCGGGTTTCCTATCATGAGAATCGTCAACTCTGATGTACAAATAACAAACTCCTTATTTTGCCCCCTAGGGCATAGTCTAATGGTGCAAAGGATAGGAGTGAGGTTATCTCACGCTTTGCTGGCAGCCGCAGTGTGGGGGTTCGATTCCTAAAACACAGAATTGGACTTCTTGTAGGCGCAGTGTACGGGCAGCTCTTGTTCCCTGGCCTACTGGAGCAATTTCACGATTTACCTCTTTCACAAAGCTCTAGAGACAAAGCAGTAGAAGCGTTCAAGATTAGGGTTCAACCTTTAACAAACTCCTTATTTCTAATAATACATATACTAAAAGAATTTATGGTTAAAGTTTGGTGTGGCAGTTACTTTATTGGATGCTACAGAATCAATCATTTTTCACAATAACATTGGGAAATGCTGTCTACTAAAGAAACTTGGATTGAAGCGGCAAAACAGTAACCCGTGATGATTATGAACCGAAAGAGTGTGTATTATTGGATTCTGTTATGAAAAGGCGAGAATAGGCCATATAAAATTACAAACAAGAACACAATATTTACGTAAAAATTTGATAAGGGAAAAAATCACGGACATATGAGAAGAAATTCACTCTATGAAAGATAATTAGAAGTGCAATTACTCTGAATGATATGATGTCATGTAATCCTAAGATATATCATATATATAATAAAACAAATTTCGAATTGATCCCTTCGCTACCACTACAGGCTTTCATAATTTATCACAATTTTAGTTTCACTAGTTGTGAGCTTTTTAGGCCAATCATGCTACTTGTGCGATATTTTTCACAATCTTGCTCGGCAAAATCACATTTATCTATTTTAAAAATTATTTTAAAGTAATGGTCCAAATTTTGACAACATCAATGTTGTCAATCATAGAGTCTGTTTGAGCCATATTATATTCTAAGAATGTATTTCGGAATAAAAGATTATGGAAAATATATGGTTAAAAAATAAAGAAAAATTTTGGGTTCGTATGTGATATTATTTTATTTAAGAATATGCGATTAAAAAGAAAATAGAGAAAAATATATTTTAAAAATAATAAGGTCATTATCACAATTCACAAGAGTTGTACAAATTACTTTATTATTTCATGTCGGGCTAAATTGAATTCGAGTCACCATACTCTTCACATATTAGGTCCCTATTTTGTAGAAATTAAAATTCAGATTTTAATTAAGTCAAAGTCAACAATTAATTTTAATCGTACATTTTATGAGATTCATAATTTTTTAATTACACATTTCAACATTTTTTTATTAAAATTTTTTAATCAAAATAAACTAAAAATCTAATTTTAGCCCTTGTCTGACACCCATTGTAAATATAAATTTTGGTAAAATGTATTATGAAATAATATTTTTTGAAAGAATGTGTGGTTTTAAAATAGTAGAAATTTTTTATTTATTTACGTATAATATTATTCTCTTGAAAAACGTGTGATTGAAAATAAAAGAGTAAAATATATTTAACTTTAATAAGTGTCAAACAAAAGCTTAGCCCCGACAAAACAAGGGTCGGATTCGATGCAGCAATCTGTGGGCACAG